ATCATTTATTGCCTCTTACATAAAGACAAATTGAATAGTAATGAGAAGCAAAACCAAAAGGGGAGTTCCCTCTAAAACACTCATCCTGTTAACATCAGCTCTTTTGCTTCCAAGGATTTGCAGAATCTCCTCTGCAAGCCTGCCTTCTCGGTGAGCCAAAACTAGAGATCTGAGCCAAAGAAGGATTAAGACGTGAATTGTTGTTCTCTGGAGTGCTCTGTGGAACAAAATTGCTATATCATTAAGGCTTATGGTGTTCTATCAATGGGAAAAAGGGAGAGAGTCTGGGTTTTTACTATGGTGTGATTAATCTAAACTTCAGTAGTATGAAATCTTCCAACGTGCAGAGCAGTAATGAAATGTATTTCTCCTATTTTCCTCACTCTGTGCCACTCTTCACTATTCACTGCTTATAATGGGACCACACACAGGAAGATATTGCAAATCTAATTGGAATCTGGATTGAATTCAGGGTGAATTAAAAAATCATGGAGGATATGGCTGAGCAGGCTTTCTCCAGCATAGTTTAACTAGATGGTTTTCTTGAATATTTACAGTGCTATTAATGCCTATTGTTCATAAAGCTTTTATGCAATATTTGTAGTGAGAATTTATGGCCCTTGGCATAGTTTTTAGTGTGCTAGAAAATAAAAAAGGATTTAAAGAGTTGACAATAAACAATGAAAATTGCATACAGGTTTGCACTGTGAAGATGATGGACATGATTACAACGACTTGACTATTAGTTCATTTAGAAATGATCTCTTTGAGCTTATTTTTCATGTGAGCTCATTTACCACTGAAATGGTTGCTAGGATGCTATACTTTGTAATTTGAAACTTGCTCTAGAAAAGAGCAATTGTGAATACGTTTTTAAACGTATTTCCTTCTTGGCAGCCTTGATACAGTTCAATTACTGATGCAAAATGGTTTTTATTATATCAAGTCTTGATCTTACCAGCACTCATATCTGGACTTAACTTTACTCAGAGTTGCAGATGGATCTCTGAGTGAAGTTAAGCATGCATTAAATGGATCTATTCAGCTGGCCTTAAATTCCTGCTAAGTTTCTGTGCCTAATATTTTCTTCCTGGCCGGCTCCTGGCAAATACCCATCCAGGTTACTACTTAGACCATGGAAATCATACTTCAGTGGTCACTAGCTTTCACCACTGAAAAAACACACAGACTTCTGTAAAATGGAAGCTGTGTGAATATGAGCTGGATTACTTAAAACCCCGGTGAGATGATGAATGGTGTGCATTACATGCCTGCATGGCACAGTGGCTAAGTCCTTTAAAATCCTGGTCCCTGGCAAGTTTTAGCAAGTCTTGCAACTTTCCTCTCACCTTTTCTGTGTCAGGGTATCTTTAAAAACCTACAGTCTACTCCAGGTGGTGTGAGTGGAACTGGGATTCTGGCTACAAGCACTGGAGATCACTCCTGACAGACAGGGCTGGCTGGTTCTGTCAGGAGCAATCCCTTCAAGACCTCGCCTTGCACAGAGTGCGGCGGCAGCTGGCTGCTGTAGGGAGCATCCAGGAAAGCAGCCCTGAGTGCGTGGAAGGAGTGGAGAGAGGTGAGCAGGCTAAAGACCCCTTAATCCATGAAGTGGGAACAGCCTCTGGAAGTAACAGATTTGGGTATTTCACATAGGAAACGAATGCTAGATTTGTTTTGTATGTCAGAAAGAGGCAATTTGGTGCTTTTTGCTAAGATTTCTGAAATATGCACATATACCTGCGCATATAAATACTTAGTTGGATATTTCCAGTCTTACAGATAATTATATTCTGCAGTCATTTGAATACTATGCACTGAGGACTGATGAGTTTGGGAACCATGTACGTCCTTTTTGTGACTACTTACTGGCAGGGATATTAGTTTCCATTTGAAGTAGTCTTGGCTTAATTTCTGCAGTGTTGGAATGTGACTAGATAAATCAGTAGGCCAGTAAGCCCAGAGATGTAGTAGAATCCTGATGCAAAATATGACACGAATCATGTTCATTGCACTGTAGCTGTGATTGAGAGAAGTATTTACAGCTTCAGACATGTGCATTGCATGCTATTGTCATGGGAAGAAACCACAAAACATAGGGAAAAAGCCAGCTCACTCCTTGGAACATCTGGGAAAAGCAGATGAACAGAAGGCTGATCCCTGGGAGTGTACAGGAGGCAGTGATCTGCCTGCCCTCTGCTCATATCTCTTTCATCTCTGTTTTTGCAGTATCAGTCTTCATACAGTAAATGAGCACAAGTTGTCAGCTTGTCTGGGGCTTATGAGTGATACTGGGGCTTCAGGAATGATGCTCTGAGATGCTGGCAAAAAAGTGAGGATGAAGATCCAGTTATGAGCTTGAAAGAGGAAAATGATATTGCGCTGGAGGGAGAGCACGGTTCCTTGCTGTGCTGAAGGTAACTGAGGGAGCAGGGGGTGAGAACCAAATTACTTTGCTCTAATGTGAGACTCTAGCAATGGGGTATGGTCTCCACACCATGAAGAAACCAATAATCTAAATGTTTATAAACGTGTTTTAATCAGGTTTTCTAGCAATAGCATCTAAAGCTCTGACAAAGATCCGTCCACTAAGAATTTGGGAGAAGTTGAGAACCTACAAATGACACCCACGCAGCTGGTGGTTGTGGGCCCAGAAACCAAGGAATGCCAGAAACCACAGGACAATCTCTTAAAACAATAAAGCAATTCTGCTGTGCTCTCCTCCTCTGCTGATGTGGTTACTGTGGCTCCAAGGCCGGCTGTAGTGTCTCTGCAATCCTCCTGTGAATGTACCAGCTCACTGGGTACCCCTCCCTATTCTATGGCATAGACCTACCCCAAAGCCAGCTGCAGGGAACCCATGGTTTTCTGAAGTTCACAAGCCAGACTTGCTGGCCTGCCAGAGGCTTTGCAGCATGGACTGGCTGGAGCAGGACCTGAGGATGGGAGCTGGTGTGCTGGGAAAGAGGGAGTGTGAGCAACATTCCTCCAGAGAGCAGAGATGGGAGTTCCTGTGTGGATGACCAGCATTTATCATGGAAGGGTACTGGCAAGTTTTGTACTCCTTTCCTGCTCAGTATAGTCCAGGAGACTAATTTCTACGACTACAGCCCCAGACAGAAATCGCAGTGCATGTGACAGCTGAGGTTCTGCATGAGGCATTGAATCATTTCTATGGCATTTTTCTATGTGTGAAAATTGATGGGTTTAGTTTGGGAAAAAAAAATATTTGAAAGCTGAGTAAACACCAACACTTCAGATCAAGATATACTATACTCTTCATTGCTGTATATAAGCCTCTAACTTGCTAGTACTGCTCTTGGATTGTGTAGATGAGCACAAAGTAATTGTAGCAACACCTATTTCTTATATATGAGGCAGTGCAGGAAGAACTCTTCCTTTTAAAAAATAACTAAAGATGGAGGATAAAATATACAACTTGTATATAGATATTTTTAGCTAAAAGAACTTGATTATATAAGAAGTTTAGGTCTATAAAGATAACAGAATTCCTCAACTGTTCCCATCTGTCTTGTCCCTGTCCTGTGTCAGCAGGGGGAAGTAGTAACTAAGACCTTTTGTGGCTTAGATACTAAATGCTTTCATTGGAGTATTTTTGTCCACTCTCCTTTCTTTCCCTCTTTGACATCAGCAAGAAGTTTTATTTATACACTGCTATGAGATATTATTTCTGCTACGGAAAATTACTGACAACTGCTTTGTCAGTGATGCTTATGTCCAAGTAAATCTGCTTACTTTTACAACTTTTTTTGTTAATCTGGATTAAAATATTGCAGGTGACACTCAGATTTCTACTGCCTGAAAGATATTAATATTGTTTCAATTAGACTGCTAGCTGAAACAGCAGCTTTCTAAAAATTGCCATGATGGTGGCTTTGAGGCATGCAGTGCGAGCAAGGACACCTCTTGTTCCCCATCCAAATCTGAGGCTGCGTCTCCAAACCCTGTGCCTGCATAGAGCGGAGCTAGTTTAGCCCCACCCTCTGAGCCGTCCAGCCTTTATTTATATGAAATCTGTGGTCCAACTGGCTTCAGATGGCGTGTGTATGTGCGTATGCCTGCCTTCAGAGTGTGTGAGACGAGCTGGGATCATGAGCCAGGGTTGTTCCAAGTGGTTTTAATCAGCAGCCCATTAGAGGAGAACGGAAAACTTCTAACAGGATAAGAACCGAGTAAGTAAACCTAACTTTGAACTCGCAATCTGGACAAAACAAATGCAAAAGAAAGTCTTCGTAGCCTGTCAGCTTTCAGATAAATGATCACTTTTAGAGAGAAAGCTGTGCATGCTGACAGGAAGGAGGCAATTTAAAAGGACTGGAACGAAGGAAACTGTAAAAACAAAGTGGGAATTGAGAATGCAAGAGAGGGAAAAAAAAGCAACTGATTGTTACAAAGTTGGTACATTCTTACTATTTTCATCTACAGAGAGGACGTGTTATGCTAAAAACAAAGTGGGAATTGAGAATGCAAGAGAGGGAAAAAAAAGCAACTGATTGTTACAAAGTTGGTACACTTTCTTACTATTTTCATCTACAGAGAGGACATGTTATGCTTTAACCTCTTGCTTTCTTGGCTACTCTCCTCTGGCTGAGCAGCTCCTTCTGCAAAGGGGTGAAGATTTCGGCTCCTCACCTGTCTGCTGGCAGGTCTGTTCTCCTGAGAGTGTTGTGTTGACGAGATCACTACAGCTCCTTGCAGAACACCCCATGGCACGCTGCTCTTTGCTGCTGCTCACTTGTTGTTTTTTCACAGGTTGTTCCTGTGCTCACATGGGAGGGCACTTCCCAAGCCTCTGCTCCTCTGGGATCCATGACTTCATGCCAGGCACCAGGAAAGCGCTCAGCAGCAGAAATGGAAGAAACTCTCGCTAGTTTTGGGTAAAGAGTGCCTTTTTTTTTTTTTTCCCCCCTGGCAAGACGTGGCTACTTGAACTGCATCTGCAATGTGGCAAAGGGCGAAGTGAGGACGGCAAAGAGGCCATGGTTTGTGGACAAGTGCCCAGGTGCCGCAGGCTTTGTCGCCCTCGTCCCTTCCTTCTGGCCTTAGTGGTGGCCATCTGCCTGTTCTGCCAGACCCTGACTCCCCTCATGACCAGCAGCATCCTTTCAGCAGTCGTTCACGGGATTGCACCCAGCAAACTGGCTAAAACGCAGCAAGGAAGATACAAGGAGGTCTCCCCAAGCAACACACACTGCTTCCTCCCTGGTAGTAATTCACAGGCAGTGAAAAAGGTAAGTCAGCTGGAGCAGAGTGCTGAGCAATAATTAGCAAAGTGAGGGATATCGAGTCTGGCAGGATCATCTGAGTCCAGCTAAAATTAGCCTAAGCTTGGAAGTCTGAGATCTGTGTACAAACAAATGGGTGATCTAATGACAGCAGCATATGCGCAAGCACCGCTCCCTCACCAGCTCCTCAGTGTGGTGTTATTAACCCAGGAAGCCTGAAATCTCTGACTGAAACATGGCTTTGCTCTGTGACTCCGGGGAGATTCCAGTTTGTTGCACAGACCGTATTTTATTTTGGCTTTAGGAATCAGTTCAGAGGCTTTACAGTACAGGCACATAAATCAGGACCCAGTAGGGTTTCATGCAAGTGACTGAGGCTGTTAATTAGCATCGGGACTGCAGCTGCCCTGTGTTAAAGTTATCTGCTGCTCACTTTTGAACTTTACTGGGGTTCTGCTGGGAAGCTGAATCTAACTGCACTTGAAAAATAAAAAAGGCACTTTTCACATTTTCAAATCACGCTGTTTTCTTTGGAAACTTTGTCCCACAAATTTTACTCTGTCCTTAGATTACCTGACCTCATGTTTATTTTGTGCAGGATTCCTAGAATGGGTGTTAAAACCTAACAAATGCAGACACTGTTATTTTAGTTGGAAAATGTGGTTTGTTAAATGGTCCAAACTGAGGTGGTTATTTTTATTCTGGAATCTGTGATCAGCACAAGCAGAAATTTTATTCAGTCTTATAGGGGGCTGCTAATAGTGCAGCAGATATTGCACAGAGAAATTATCATTATGCTGGAATTTTATGTACAACTGTATCAGGACTATAAATGTTAATCTGTGATTTAACATATTACAGACAACATCTACATGAAGCATTCAAATAAAAAAATTAGAATGCTCCTTCTTTGATTATACAGGATTTGTAGAGTGAAAAGACAGAGTTCACAGTCTGAGAAGTCAGCAATATTGATTATAGGAGAACGGTTTTAAAGTACATCTTCTGCAACAGTCGAAACAGATATGTGAAATAATTTTGGCATTAGGACTTAAAAAATTGACTGTTTTTCTTGTGAAGGTCAGAGAGGTTTATCTTAAGAGTTTCAGAAGTCTACTCCATGCTGCATCTTTCATAATTTTGTATTTTAATCACCTTTTAGTACACTAGGTACGCAAATTTAGACTTGTTCAACAATGTGACATGAAGAATTACAATTTAAGGGGAAAGAAGTAGAGCCGACGGATGCAGATCGCATTGCGTTACAGTTTTTGACACTTACCATCTATTTGTTTTTACTCATCGCTGTTAAAATGGCAAAAACAGTTTTGTGTCTTACCTTGGGCTACCTAAAGTCTGTAAGAATTAGTGAAATTATGGCAAAGTTTTGCTAATATGCCGCCGTTTGGCTGGAAAAAACTGTAATTTCCTCCTTGCCAATTTGTGGGAGAAAAACACAGATTGATATAGAACTTGGTGTGCTGGCTCTTTGAAAGGAGAGCAACATGTTTTTACAACACGATGTACTCGCTGCCCTCCAGCACCCATAGTTGGATGTGCCTGCCACACGCACATGCTGAGCCTATAGCATAGATGTAAATTCATGGTAACCCTTACAGGTATCTTTTCCAGGGCTGTGCTACTCTAACACATTCCTCTTCCAGTTCTGAAGACCACCCAGAGCTGGCTCCCTATTTGTCTTGAAAGTTTCCTCTAGAGCATGGTGAACAAAACATCTTGCACATGTGGGGATGTTACTCTGAGCTGCTCTCGGTTTCCAGAGACTGCTCTGCTGGTTGTGTGGGCTGAATAATAATCTCAGGGAAAAGAAAAGACAAACATCTCTAAAAATCTCCACCACTTTGCTTTGAAAGTGTGTTCTTGAACCGCGTGTTTTCTCCCACTCCTTATTCAGATAGCAGAACTGTTATCTTGCTTGATTTTATTGGGTGCTCGGTAACATCTAAGACAGATGTCATGGTTGAAACTTTACGCTGTTGTGTTTTACAGTCACGTGCCCACCCACAGTAGCTAGTTTGCAGACAAGTTTTCAGTAAAGCTCTGATTTAAATCTTCGTGTATGAGTCTGGAAAAATCCTTTAAAATATAGTCCAAATTATTCACATTTTTAATTGACTAGTCACACGTGTATTCTTATTCTGTAAATAGGTCAGCAAGCAAGTTTATTAAAAATAATCTATTGCGCAGTTAAACAGAGACTTGAGCAAACACTCTAACATGTCTTAGGAAATTGAAGTTCATGAATAAATTTTAAGGAAAAACAGACTCTACTGGAGATACTATTCTTTAGATAAGACCCAATGTTTCCAGGGTTTGAGCCATAGTATCTTGACGCACCGAAGAACCTTCAGGATTAATTCTGGCTTTCTTCAAACAATCAGTATTGTGTTGAGCCTGTTGTGAGAATTTGGTTATGACTGTTATTGCTTGAGCAAAATGACCTTCAAAAACCTGATAATTTCTCAATTCAGAATATGTACAGCACTAAGTGCCTAAAAAAAAAAAAAAAAAGCTAGGACTTTTTATGAGCTATTGGAGGAAGCAGACAGAGAGATCTGAGGAAAAGTGCAGATTTACCACTGCACCCCTGATCTAAAAAGCCATCTCGTTTTGGAAGGGAAAGTTCCAGACAAGCACAGGAAAAGCATAGGGCTGGAAATTGCCAGTTTTATCTGCGAATGTGTCTTTAACTACATCAAAAATGCCCCAGGATAGAGCCATGACTGTCAGGCACGTAGTGCAAGCTGCCTTTTTTAAATTACAAAAATGAAGATTTCATTCACAGTTTGGAAAACATGATAGTCCACAGTACTTCTCTCTCAGGTATCAAACATTACAGAAGTTTTAAAAGCTACTGCGGAGCTGGTCCTGTAGCCTTATTTTCAGATGAACAGAGGTCGACGTTTTCTATAACAAAATTTAATGTTAATATCTGTAGCATGAGAAATAGAAGGCTTATTTCTGAATCTCTGGCATAAAAGGCATTAGAGGGAGATACCGCATCCAGCAGCAGGTTGTCTTCAGGTCAGCCAGGTATGCTTACCTCCTGCATGATGAAATGTTTGCACATTTATATATAGTAAGGAGAAGGATTGGTGCTGTAGCATCAAATCTTAAACAGGTATCAACAAAAAAAGCTCACAAAAAATCTGTATCTAAGTTTGTCTGGTATGGTACACCTTTGGTACCACCTAGATGTGAAACTGTTACACTCGTCTTAAGTAATTTATCTCTGCTTCTCAGCCAGTTCTTAGAAGAACTAATCAGCTCTTTGTACTTTGTTTCTACTCTGTGAATTAATTCAGCCGTAGCCAGTTTAGGTGTCTCTGCTCAGCAGTGTTCTGCTCAGGCAGACGTGGTACCTCTGCTGTCGGGAGGAAGCAGTGAGATGATATGTAGTAGGCACTATATCATGTGGTAGGCACTATATCAACAGTGACTCTGTAACCATGGCCAATGTACAAAAAAAAGTTAGATTTTAAATTTTAAGATGGGCATACGCCATGGATACTCACAAGAGCTTTACCTCACATCTGGCCATTTAAGCTCAGCTGACAAAAACAAACAAGACACGCAGCTGATCATGTGAGAATTTAATGAGTAAGTGAAGCTAGCATCTTAATAAATGAAATATAACAGGTATGGTGAAAAAGCTGTCTTCACTTTCAAGGTCCTCAACCTAGTGTAAAAGATATATCTCCAAAAGGAGCTATAACGAGGTGAGTAAACAGAAAGAATGTGGAAAGGTTTTTTATGGCTTCATTCTGAACAAATAGGATAGGACATCATTTACTGGGAGTGGACAGTATGAAAGATGAAAGACATTAGCAGCCTGATGTGCCTATATCTCAGAGATACTATGTAGAAAAATAAGGGGGGTGAAAAAAAGGGAAAAAAGTTTTAGTGGTTTTAATGCTTTAGCCCTAACCAAGATCTAGAGGAAGATACACCTGAACATCTCTCTCTTTTTTTGGATGCAGTATAGTTGCTTCAGTCAGAATAAGCATGGAATGAAGGGAACAGGAGAGGAATGTCAGGGAAGAAGGCATGTCCTCAGGAGGCACAGGAGAGATTGTTCAGGGAGTGGGCGGGATTTGTGCTGGGGATGAGAATGGGAGATGGGAATGGAAATGAAATTTAAAAAAAAAAAAGAAAGAAAGAAAAAAAAAGAAGATAAAGCTAGCGGTAACTTTTGAAATGTAAATATGTGAAAAAGGTGAAATGAAGACAGATGATGGCATGAAAGGGGATTATTTTTGCTATTATGCAGAAAGACAGTGCTGTGAGAGCTCTCTGTAGAGAAGACTACATTATACATAATACATTTTTAAAGTAAATTTAGTCTTTAAAAGGATATTTATTTTACAGAATACATTGGGAGGATGAGAACGCATTTCTTCTCACAAAAGAACAAAGAACTTTGCTAGTATTAAACCTCGTTAATAGAAAGCATTCAGCAGCTGATACGGTGTCAGCAACTGGTTTCCTTGGAATGGTACCACACTCGTATTGCACCCTCCGAAAGCAGGATATTTTTTGTGCCTTTTCAGTGAAAATGCAAAAGGCACTGAGGAAATAGCTAGAGATATTTCAGTGATAAAGGGCCAGGCTATTGTGGTAGCACTCAGGAAAGAGGGGCAGGGTGGAGACTCTTTGCAGGAAGGGACCTTTGAGAAGGATGCATCAGCAGCAAATGGGAACCGGAGGCAGAATCTCAGGCATGCACTGCGTTGGAGCCTTTCCTCAAAAGTAGCTGTTCTGATAAGATGATAGGATTGGCTCATTGTCGGTTCTCAAGGCAAGGCAGTTGTTACCCTGAACTATGTGCAATCATAAAGAAAAGACATTTTGATAAAATAGGTCTGTAGTTTCAGCTCAGAGTGCTGGTGATGACTATGCAAATAACTCCAGTTTTGCTCTTGGATTTATGAAGTCATCAGAAACCAGCCGTCAAAGTAGTGCCAGTAATCTGGTTGTTCGTTCTA